TACAACGATAGACTTTTGATGTGGAGGGAAATTTTCCCTCCTAAAACTCACTTTCTCTCTCTGACGTGGCAGCATCTTTTAATGGCAGTTTTGTAATAACTTTTTTCCTACAACAACAATTCAAGGGTTATTTGGCCATTAATGATCAACAAATAGTACAAGCTATATAAGTAATAAACACACTTTTATGTGTTATTTGAGTAACTCACCCTATATATATATATATATATATATATAGAATGTAGACAAGTACAAATATATATGGTCAAATTGTAATCAAGCTTCCCTAAGAGATAGCTTAATACAATCAAAACGCTTCTTTCTTTACTTGTGTGCACTTTGTTGCTGAAGGGAAAATGTAAATTACCAAATCGATGTAACTTTGATACCATATATCTTGTTAAAATTAATACTATACGATTGTTTATCCTCGTAAGTAGAGGTCTTGAATGTGTTAGCATATCCCATCAAATTATTGGTTTGTCATGATACTTTGTGATTCGAGGATGCTTCAAAGGGATTACTATATAGCAGCATTTACTGGTGCAAAATAGGTTGCAAGATATGTCCCAATTATAGCTGATATCAACAATCACATCATAACAGAGTTGAGAATATGTTCTGTAAAATTTCTAAAGAGACTAGATATATACTAATTAAATAGCGGAAACGATTTAAACAATAAAACAATAACGAGACGACACAAGATTTAACGAGGTATCGGTTGGTTCTCTTTCAAACCAACCACTAGTCCTCGGCTGCAACAAGAGTTTATTAGATCACTTTAAGAAGTACAAGATATACTTAGAAATTCAACACAATTCTAATACATCTATCTAAGAACATGAACTAAGGTTAACAAGTAAACTCATTTTACTCCCCCTTAATCATGTATGCATTCTTCTTGGAGAAGTCTTTGCTTTGTGCTCCTCACACCAATAGCAATCTCTTCACAAGGTGATCTCTCCCCAAACTCAACAGCAACACAAGCTTCACACAAAATTATCAAAACACTCTGTTTTCACCGTACTCTTGTGTGTATCTACAATGAAGACCACGTCTTCTTCTTTATAGGAAAAACACCAACGTCTCTTTCCTATTCTAATTGGATTTCCTGTTAATCATAATCATAATGTTAATGTAGAGAATAAATTATTGGGAATAAATCCATAAAAGAGGAAACATAGATAATTCTCTAATCTCACAAAGTAAACAAAGAGAATACGTAATAACTTTTCCAAAAACAATTCTCATTGTACAAGGCATAAACCAAATAAGGAATCTTATATAATTTCCCATAATAATATATTCAACATTCTCCCCCTTTTTGACAAGCTTAAGCACATACTCTTTAAAAATATAAATGACTTCAAAATCATAGTAGAAGCATACAGTACTCCCCCTTAATGAGCTTAAGAATTGTCAAAAATAACATAAAAAGGATAGAAATAACTCCCTTATAAGTCTCATGACTCATCTCTTTAATTTTTCACTCTGTTTTTCTTAGCTCTGTTTTAACAGACAGACTACAAGCAGATTCCATTTAAGCTTGTGAATCACAGTTCCTGCAAAAAAAAAAAAATACTCTTTCTCGAGGGTAAAACCAATATGCATTAAAAAAAAAAAATTAAACACTCAAAAATATCATGCTAAGGAGATAAAATCATGGTTTTGAAGGAACATAATCAGCATATAAATCTTTTTTTCTTACCCATACCAATCTAAATTTTTGAGGTTTAAAAGAAAAAGTTTGAAGATACCTATAACACCGTGGACGTATGTGGCCACTCTTCCCACAATGGTGACAAATGGGACGAAATTGCACATGATTAACGTGCTTATTTTGAAATTGTCTTGGTATGTTCTTGACCGTATCTTGCATTATACCACCTGAAACAAAAACAGTTTTAGAGCTTGATTCATTACCTTTGTAACCAAGACCTTGGGGCTGATGTCCAACTCTTCCCATGGTCAAGATATGATCAAGATTTGACGTTCCATTGTTTAGCATCTTGACACCTTTCTTGGTTTCCTCAAGTTCATGATTCACTTGTTTGAGTTTTTCTTCTTTTTCTTGAAGCTGTTTTTGGATGTATCCGACTTGAATGACTAACTCTTTCTTCTCCTTCATAAGCATGACGTTTTGATTGCATATATCCACCCAATTTTGTAAAAGATCTTCATATGGTGGCAAATCCTCATCATCCGAGTAGTCTTCATCGGTTTCAGCAGTTCCTGTTTTTGTAGACTCTGTTTTAACAGGCTCAACTTTGACAGACTCTTCAATTTCAGCAACGAAGGAAATCACGTTGTTGTGTGAGACATCTTCTTCATCACTTTCTGTCTCTGAATCACTTAATGTTGTTTTGAGTGACTTTTCCTTTTGCTTCTGTAGATTTGCACAATCTTCTTTGTAATGCCCATACCCTTGACACTCATAACATTGAACTCTTCTTTTCTCTTTGCCTCGATCATCTCTTTTACCATAACTGCTGCTGGATTTTGAGAGCTTCTTATCTTTCAGTAACTCTAGTTTCTTCATGTATTTTCCTATCTTCTTGGTGAGCGTCTCCAAATTTTCATCCTCATCTTCACTTTTGCTTTCGGTTGTAACAAAAGCAAAGCTTCTTGCTCTTTCAGCAAGACCTCTATTCTGGTCCTGCATCTTCATCTCCATTTCGTACGTTTCAAGGGACCCAATGAGCTCTTCAAGCTTCATCTTCATTACATCATTAGATTCCATCATTGCAGTCTTCTTTGGAGCAAACTTTTCGGGAAGAGATGTCAAGACCTTCATGACCATGTCGAACTCCGTATATGTCTTTCCAAGAGCATACGATTCATTTGCGATATCTCTTAGTTCTTTGTAGAAATCCGCAATCGAGCTGTCAGGCTGCATTAACAAACTATCAAATCTAGATTTAAGCATAATGAGTTTTGTTTGTTTAACCTTAGATGTGCCTTCATAGGTGGTTTCCAACGCCTCCCATACTTCCTTAGCTGTTTTGTAAGAGGATATCATTCGAAATTGACCGACGTCGATTGCGTTGTATATCGCGTTCAAAGCTTTGGAGTTGCTAGTGCATTTCTTGACTTCTTCTTCAGACCATATACTTCTCACTTTTGGTGTAGTGCTCCCTTCAGCATCAGTCGTAACGGGTTCGTTGCATCCAACAATCACAGAGTTCCAAGCATCTCCATCAATAGAACTTATGAAGGATTGCATTCTGATTTTCCAGTAGCCATAGTTTGAGCTACCCTCTAAAAACGGCGGTCGTGTCACAGAGCTACCTTCTCGAGGAGGATCCATCTAGTCTCAAAATAAGAATCGAATCACTGCAAAAGTTTAAACTTGACCAGTGAACCCGCTCTGATACCATGTAAAATTTCTAGAGAGACTAGATATATACTAATTAAATAGCGGAAACGATTTAAACAATAAAACAATAACGAGACGACACAAGATTTAACGAGGTATCAGTTGGTTCTCTTTCAAACCAACCACTAGTCCTCGGCTGCAACAAGAGTTTATTAGATCACTTTAAGAAGTACAAGATAGACTTAGAAATTCAACACAATTCTAATACATCTATCTAAGAACATGAACTAAGGTTAACAAGTAAACTCATTTTACTCCCCCTTAATCATGTATGCATTCTTCTTGGAGAAGTCTTTGCTTTGTGCTCCTCCCACCAATAGCAATCTCTTCACAAGGTGATCTCTCCCCAAACTCAACAGCAACACAAGCTTCACACAAAATTATCAAAACACTCTGTTTTCACCGTACTCTTGTGTGTATCTACAATGAAGACCACGTCTTCTTCTTTATAGGAAAAACACCAACGTCTCTTTCCTATTCTAATTGGATTTCCTGTCAATCATAATCATAATGTTAATGTAGAGAATAAATTATTGGGAACAAATCCATAAAAGAGGAAACATAGATAATTCTCTAATCTCACAAAGTAAATAAAGAGAATACGTAATAACTTTTCCAAAAACAATTCTCATTGTACAAGGCATAAACCAAATAAGGAATCTTATATAATTTCCCATAATAATATATTCAACATGTTCTTGATAAAGACAGATGATCGAGATACAAATGTTCGTGTGCTTTAAGAAAGAAGAATGTGCAATCAAGATGCAACACTGCAAGAACCAAGGAGAAAAAGTAGATTTGTAGCTTGGGGATCCAATTGGCGTTTTTAGGCACGGATAAGCACTACACTGCCTTGAGTTCGTGGTATGAGGTTGCATATCTGAAGCAGTACTAGCTCTCTTTATGGCCTCTATTCAAATCTTAAGAACTCACTAACCAACCAATTCAGAAAGATCTCACTACTTCGTTTGTTTTAGTTTATTTCTTTCATATAAATTATGCTATATACTGTATTTTATCAATTGGGGTGTAACATTTTTTTTTCATACGTTAGATAGATGGAATACTCTGATACACTCCTAAATAGTTGGAATACTCCAATATATTCCATGTTCTAAAAATTGCTCGCTTAAGCGCCCAAATAACACGAGATCATGTTTTTGGTATACGCTCCCGATTAATCAGTTTTTTGAAAGAAAAGAGATATTTAAAATTGAATCTTTAGCATTATATATTTAATTTATGTAATTTATCTATAAAAATGAAAGAATACAAAAAAAAAATCTCAGAATATTCTTCTTTTAATCTCCGATTAATTGACTAAAAATTCGATATTTTTTTACTGTACGATTAAAGAAATATTTTAAACATTGGATATATAGTTAAAAGTTGATTAATTTCCAGATATATTTTGATATATTTTTATCGTTTTTCTTATGAAAGTTTCTAAATCAAATTAAATCATATTTAAGTTTTTCGAAATTAGGAACTAGTTGGACATCATAGAAACCAAATTGACTTTGTTCAAAAAAAAAAGAAACCAAATTGACAAAATAAAATGATTTAGAGATCCATAGTTTCAAAAGAAAGAAACAAAGAGACAAACATTTCAAAATAACAAAGATAAAATGTTTTAATGGTCCATAAAGAGATAAACAAACATAGTTTTAAAATAAATGCATACCAAACTTAGAACATAATCCAACAAAAAGTTTAGATATGATCATTCTTAAATCCCGGCAAAATCCTATTGATATCAAACGATGTCATATCAGCATTACCTTCTCCGGCGGTTGTTCCATTAGGAGCTGGCTCTTGATAGAAACCATCGTTGGTCGCTATTCTCCTGTAAATTTGTGAGTTGTTAATGTTGCTTCCTTGCTTTCTTACTTCTAGATCACGGCTCATGAAATCAAAAAGGTGTGGCCTTTGTTGATTCGTAGTCATTATTGGATTGTAGTTCATGTTATGATGCTGGAAAGGTTGAGAGACTGACTCAACCAAATTATGAAAAATATCATTTGTGGTGGTCTTAATTGCCTCGACTTGTACTTCAAATGGAAATATGGGTGGATCACGAAGAGGAGTAAACTGCATGGAATCTAGCTTCTTCCTACAACGTATGATATTATCCTTTGAGAAAGATATCAAGGTGTAGATCTCACTCAAGGTAAGATCACCAATTCTACGACCGCTTTGTAGTTGAATCATCAACTCATTAGTAACATACTCCTTTTTCTGCTTATCGATCTTCATCAGTTCCTCATGAATCTTCTTCGTCTTGTCATTTAGGTATGACTCGACACTCGCCTGTTTTTTGTTCTGCTTGAACTCTGGAAAGGAAAAAAACTCGTCTAGGAGGCCATGAGTTTTCTCAGCAGATGGCCACACCACTGGTTCAGCCTCATTAGGACTAAAAATGATCGTGCAAGCCCTTACATCGCACAATATGCTTAGTTCATTCACCTTTTTCACTAACCCTGCCCTCCTTCTTTTCAATGTCATTGATCTGGAGTAGTCATTCTCTATCCATGCAAGATTTACTTTTTTTCCTGTCATGGTTACTCCTTGATTTTAGTTTTACTCCTTTTAAAAGTGAAATGTTGTTGGGTATATGAAAAAAGAATAACGTGGGAATCCATATAAATAGAGAGTTCAAACAAACAGATAAGATTTCGAATACCGATACTAGTCAAAAGAAAAGATGTAAAATTAATTACTACTTACTAAAAGTGTTGAATGTTTATTGTGGCTTTTAAGTTAAACCAAAACTTTTCGATACTAGTCAAAAGAAAAGATGTAAAATTAATTACTACTTACTAAAAAGTGTTGAATGTTTATTGTGGCTTTTAAGTTGAACCAAAACTTTTCGATCCAAACAAAGTTGAAATATCAATTCAAAAACTAATTATTTCCTTTGATATAGTTTGAATAGTTATTTTCCAAATACCAAATATACCTTAACCGATTTTTTACCAACATAAAATGGTTATAAACTAAACTTATTTTCCTAAAAGAGTAATAGAATTTGCATAAGTTCTTAAAAGCTAAATGAAAATTCTACTTAAATATATTAGATTTGGTTTGGTTTTACATTGATTATTCTTTTAAAACCAAATTAGTAGACCAATACTAAAAGAAGATTAAACCACCAACATGTTAAAATCTCTATGGTGGTTATGTTATTACATGGAATTAATTATACTATTTGTATATCACTATTGCATTTCTGTCCGTATTTGTGATCATAGTCAATATACTTTTAATTCATTATTTTATGCTACAAATTATGTTGACTATATTATTTTTGTTATTGTGAATCATATTTATTCATAGTGTTTGACAATTATTTTGGGAACTAAATGTTGACCATACAAATTAAAAGAAAAAACAAATTAAATATTTTACCATATATGTACATTTTTTTTTAACTCTTGAAGTCTATTTATTAATTTTTTTTAAATACTAGTGTATTAAGAATATTTATATCCAACTAAAGGAATCCCTTGAAATATCACATTAATCGTCTTATAAAAGGTATCCAAATATTTCTTAATCTTGGGGGTGTTATTGGTTCCTAATTTACAAGGAATTTTGATGACTTTAATAAAATCATATAAACTAAATTAATGAAAGATTCTAAACTATTACTAGAGAGTTTTCTATAATTTTTTTCATTAGTTTTTTTATAACCTTATAAAGTTTTCCAAACAATCTCTCTATTTTGATGATACTTTCATGACTTTATTTTGTGAAGAAAAGTGTAAAACGTCATAAACCAATAACATAATAATTTAATTCATTAACAATCATTAATTCTTTTGCTTTAATTGAATAACACAAAACTTTTAATGACTTTATAAAAGTTTGAATCCAATAACTCCAGATTTTTGAAGATTTGAGAATACTTTTTACAAATATTTAATTAATAACACCAAACTTTAACGAACTTTTAAAAAATCTTGATTGAAGAACAACAGATTCTATATAACATTTAAAGACAATTAAAATCTATTTAAATCACAAACCAATAACACTAAAATACTTAAAATAGCCTACACACATAAACCACAATGGAACATGCCATGTTTCTTGTAGTTATGTTCAGATCTGAAAGTTCTTTTAAATCTCAGGACTTAATCTTGTTGCTACGGTTATGGCGAAGTACAGTTCAATACGGTTTGATATGAATCTTGTGATAGTAATTTGCTGGAATGATAAGAGCATAATCCCGAAGAAAATGTGAGTTCTCATGTTTTCAAACCTCTTCTATTATTTAGGTTTTTTGTTTTCCTTGAGGATAAGAAAAGATTTAAGTTGCGGGAGTTGATGTGTTGCGTTTTTACCACTTTTGAGTCTTTTGTCGAGTCTAAGCTTCTTTTAGATGTTTTTAGAATCTGTCAAGTCGTTTTGAGTCATTTCAGGTGCTACAATAGAGATGGATGAAGTTTGGAGCAAAAAGCATTGAAACCGGCTTAAAGAGTATGAAAATACGTTCATACTAGTTGACCTGACCTATTCACCCAACCAGAGGTAGGGCGAGTCAATACATCTACTGATCCATCCAATCGACCTGACCTATATAAAATTATAGGGCCCAAACTAATGTTACACAAAGTTATAGAAGAATCCTTGTACCTTTATTTTTTGCGCGATTGTCCCGCCATTACTTTAGTCATCGTCCTCCTTAATCAGCAGATGTTTTAACTCGCCCTACCTCTGGTCGGGTGAATAGGTCGGGTGAGGTTAACTTAAAGGTAACATATATACATATAAAATACTTAAAATTAAATTTTTGCTAATATATAACTTAAAATGAACATAATCCCTAAATATATAATTAAGAAATAAAAATAATAATGAAAATTTCATAGAAATACCAATGTTATTTAAGATGGGCAAAATGATTCTTAATGAAATTTATTATACAATTACAAAAAAATAATAACTTAACAAAAACAAAAAGGTTTTAAAACTATCATTTTCAAGAATAATAAGGAAACCTCAAATATAATTTAGGATGAAAAAAATAATTGAAATGGAAGGCTATAAGAGTTTTTTTTAATAATAAGAAGATATTCGTATTTTCTGGAAACATTAACTTAAAGAGATGATAATGAAGTGGAAGAAATCTATTTAAAATAATATTATGTTTTAGATTAAAAATAAATGTTTAAATGTTATAATAAATTTATAATGTATAAGTTTTTTAAGATATAAGAAATAATTCATTTTTAAAATTGGAAATTATATTTCAAAAAACAAAAGTATAAATTCACATTGACAAAAAAAATAATAAGATTGATTGTATCTTAGTATTTTATTATAGTAAAATATAACAATTATATCTATATTATTGTTTGCTTTCTAAATAAAAAAGGTTAAAATATTTAAATATAGGTAAAATCTAAATAAGTGTAGTGACAATTTTCATAAATATATATCTTCCGTAAAATATATTACGCTCAAGCATGAAAATCATATTATTAATAAGAGAAAATAGACTAAGAAGATGAAAATGATAAAATAATTTTGAGTCAAGAATGCATTCAAAGTTTTATTATATGTAAGTGAGCATAGAAGATAAAAGAAGAGTAGATATTGGGAGGCGTACAAGTGCATCATAGAAGATGACGAAAAAATGATAGAGAAAAAATATTTGAAGAGAAATTGACTAATGCTTGAAGCATCGGATATATGTATGCACATGACTAAAGTAAATTCATCGGATATATGTATGCACTATCATATAGTTTGATTTAGTAAACCAGACTATCATATTCAACATTAGGTTAAACCGTTGAGGCATGTAATAAAGCGTTGTAGATAGAAAAGATAAGATAAGGACATTCATGATTTGGTTAAAACTTTTCTTAATGCATGATTGTCTTGCTTCAATAGGTAAATTGTGCTTTCCAAACCTATTGAAGCGGCAAGAATATTAAGTTTATACATTTTCATAAATTGATTTTCAAATTCAGCAAATTTAATTTTAGTATGGGGTACGATTAGGTCAAAACCTCGAGATAGATATACTTACAAGATCTGTTTATGGAATAAATCTCTTTTTGATCAAAGTCCATGAATGGCTACCGAGACCGATTCATCTTATATTACTTTTGTTATTTCGTGGTTGTACATACCAAATATTTTTGAGAATTTCTATGTTGTGTACTGTTTTGTAAAACAAGTATGAATATATATAGTTTTGAAATTCAAATGATTATGATTATTTTTAATATTTTGTATTGTGGCTAGTTTAAATTTTAAATCTCGCGCAACGCGCGGACGAGTAAACTTAGTTTCTAAAATGCCAGAAAGAATAGAGGTAGACATTTTTAGATTAGCCTTGGAACATTTATCTAGTTTTATTATGCGGTAGTGGCTATTTTAAATGGATATATAGACATTTAAATTTTTTGAATAAGCAAAACAAAAAAAAAAAAGAAACAAAACTTAAGCAAAACATAAGCAAAATATAATAATAATTTTTTTTTAAAAACCAAATCATGATTAAAGTAAAAATTATAGATTTAACCGAATCATGATTAAAGTAGAAATTATAGATTTAAATTTAGACATTAGAAGCAAGAAAAACTATATTTAAGGGTATAATCCATTAAACAAATAAAGGGATAGCGGGAAGTTGCCACTTTTGGCCTTTCACATTATTTTGTGTGCATAGGGTCATTGACGACGCACAAAAGGTATAGTGTGGCAGTGAAATAGTAAACAAAAATGTTCCGGTCAGCAGACGACTACTCAGATGGGATCTGGATACTTTCTAGCATCCCCAAAACCGCTTATATGCGTGACCTAGATATCGTGGTTAACAACCATAATTTCATGTCTTCGAGCTCATAGTAGGAGCAATGAACCCCGCCCACTACAACGTCAAGAAATTTAGCAACACGAGTTTTTCTTAGGAAGGACCTGAGCATGCCGCTTTAAACTAGGCTCAATTTTTCTTTGTTTCTATTTCAGCCTTTCTTTGCTCTTTTTTGTTTTTTTTTTTCTTTTTTTCTTCACTTCGTAGTTGTATATTGACAGAACTCGACAATGTTTGGTTTGTTACTTGCTAAATGATGCTTGAATTGTATTGGTTTCAAACAATGTAAACTAAATTGTTACGTACGTATTGGGCCGTGTAATCGTATTTTGTATTCAAATGGAATGTGTGGAGATATATACTTTTATGCATCCACGCCATGTATAGTGATATAGAAAATAGTATGAATAATTTTTTGTTCAGCCAAAATAAATAAAACGTATCCAAAAAATCAACCTTAAGAGTGTTTTTGGTCAATAATTTAAAATATAATCCAACAAAGGTTTTTGTCAAATGCGAAACAAAAAATAATGTGTAACAACAATAAAGTATACAAATCCAAAATCATGCAACGATCATTTAAAATGGTTGTTAAATTTACTATATATTTAGAGTCTTGGGATGATATAGCAATGATATTCTTCCTCAGTTCCCCTTCATCTCTAAGTTGGAAAAAAATCAAGTTTCCAAGTAAGGGTAAATAATTTTTTATATTTTTTGTTTTGATTAAACTAGATAAAGAACGTATGCTTTAGTAGGTAT